TCATAATATATTATATTATAAAATTATAAAATTATATAATATTATAATTATATTTTAAAAAAAAATTAACTTTATCACCAACCCCGGCGGATGCTTAAATTGTCAAAAAGCAGCAGTTTTGTCGGTATTACTCTATGCAGTCCACATCCTGCGTAAGCAAAATTGATTCCGGAACTAACAGAAAATTCTAATTTAAGACGATAAAATTTTTTAAAGAAAAAGCTAAAAAATTGATAATGTAATAGATATAATATTAAGTAAAATTATAAATTTATAATTATAATATAATATTAAATATGTATAATATAATATTAAATAAATATATATAACATTATATATAAATCTTTAAATAAAAAATAATTATATAATAATATATTATGTTATAAATTTATAACATTACATGATATTGTAATTATTACATTTTCATTAAAAATTATACTTTATATCTAAATCCCAGTGGACGGTTAAATTGTGGAAAGCAGTTCTGGGGATGATAATGTGTGTTAGTTTTGACTTTGGGTGAAGAAAAAGGAGGATGCTTGCATTATACATACCACATCACCCACCCCCACCAGCAGTAGTAATGGAGGAAGCACTAGGCGACGTTGGGCTTTAGTTGTGTAGCAAGGAACTGGGGTCGGTGATTCCCAGAGTCCTACGTTAGCAGAGATAGAGAGTGGTTAATAATGTCTTTTTTTGAAAATAGGCAATGGGATAGTGATTAATGTCTTATGGCTTTAAAGTTTGGGGCAAAGTTTAAATCAAGGGGCAGTTGTATGAAAGTCGTGGTTTTGCAATTTGGATACGTCATATCCTAAATTTGGGATCATAAGACGAGAGATTTTTCTTTAACTAATAGTTGTAATTGTATAATTTAATATAGTTTAAAACTATGCATAACAATTTTTCATTTCTTTAAAATGATCAAATGTAAGTGTTTTTGGCAATGTTGATTCTTTCTAACCTATATAAAATTGTTTTTTTATTACCTTATATTGTAATTTTTTTTTCAAATTTAATATTTAAAATGTATTATATAATTTAAATTATTGTATAATTTAAATTATTATATAAAGCTCATAATCAAGATATTAAAATTATCCATATCTAATAATTTTTATTTCGTAATTCAAGATATATCTGAACTACAAGTTAAGATACTCATTCAATAATTGAAGGAAGACTTGAACACTAATTTTGGTTTCGATGTTATCTCCTCGTGCATGGGGGACCTGTTGTTGTGGCCTTGTTAATATTCGAAGCAGAAGGAAAAATGTAGAAATGCCAAAACAGGGTCCCTTCCTCCACTGTGGCACATGATTGCCTTACGGGAGACTCCAAAACTCTTCGGCCTTTTCTGAGAAAGAAAGTTCCCTGGAAATTTCACTGGGGACGTGCAGCCATGCAGGAGAGATCTTGGAAATGCACATATCTAAGATTCCTCACACGTATATGTAATGCCAAAAACCAATTATTGTGAGCATGTAATGATGTCGTCGGTGGTATATTGAAAATTACCAGTGACTGTTGTTTCATCATTTTATTAATGGAGTAGGCGATCGAATTTTAGTGAGTGGATATGGTAGACTATTTGAAGCATACGCAAGTGGAATACTACGTGGACATATACTTCCTCAAACACTCTCAATTGATTTTTTATAATTTTTATATTAATTATATATGCATTGTTTTATTCTCTGGTAATACTAATTTGGTTTGCTTTTTAACTAAGTAATACTAATTTGGTTTAATTTTTTGATAAATTATTCTTTGGTAAAGTATCTAAATGATTTGAAAAGGATGTTATATACATTAATATCCTTACTAAATTATACAAAACACTAACTAAAATTAATTTAATAATTTTTTTCTTAAATAATATGCACATCATGCATAACATATCTATTTACATAGAAAAATAGCTACTAATAAGAACTCATCATATGCCCGCTCGAAGGGAATGAAAGGATGTGAATAAATAGGTTATTTGGATTAATTTTTTTTAAAACAGTTGATAGTTGATAATTGATAATTGATATATGATAATTAATAATAATTGATATTTATCATGCAAAATATTTAACCAATTTATTTATTAAAACTAATAACTATTTAAAAAAAATTAAAACATACACCCCTAAAAACTATTAGTGAGTATAATAGTTCAAAAAAAACTCATCAACTATTTAACCCAAGCTCAGCTCGAGCTTGACCCCAATATCAACCTCGATGCATCATGAATTTGAAAATGAATTCCGCACATTTATACCAAACCCCACATGTCATCCTAAGTTTTAAGTTCAAGCCCACTGAACTTGGGCTGGAAAAAGATTGAACTACACTGTGCAATAGTTTTCGGACCCAAAGTCCAAACCCATCCCTATTGTCTCCAAGGACCAGGAGGGTTTGTGGGCTTTGCTTTGCTTTCCCTTCACAAAATGCCTCCAAACCGGTGTTGCCCGCTCCCGCGCGTCCACCTCTGTCTAAAACCACTCTTCGTCTCCTCCAACTCATCTCTTTCCACTAGAAAGTTTACTATCGCTACACAAATCATGCTCGCAAACCCTAGACTGCTCTCTTCTTTAGCATCGGCACAGTTTGCAACCGATAATGGCGGCAGGTCCGGTGCGCTATCTCCGCCGCCAATCTCCGAGGAGGTGCAGAGGATCGACGTCAATCCCCTTAAAGAGACTCGAGATTTCCCTCCCGAAGATATGTGTCTACGCAATTGGCTCTTCAACCATTTCTAAAAGGTTGCTGCTCCACTAAACTCGCAAACAATTTATTCTCAATTGCTCAACTCTGAATTTGATTGAGAGAATGAGAACGAATAGAGGAGAATTGATTTTGTTTCTGAGGACTTGTTACTTCAATAATATAGATTGTGTTCTTTCCTTTTTTAAAACTTGTATTGCGAGTAGCATTGTTAGTTTAATTGGTTAAGTGCTTTCTTTTATATTTCTAGTTAATGCAGGTTTCACGAATTTATGGATTCGAAGAGGTGGATTTGCCGGTACTAGAGTCAGAGGCGCTCCTTGTCAGGAAGGCAGGGGAGGAGATCAAGGACCAGGTTAGTTTTAACATTTGGTTTAATTCTTTTGAACTCAGCTCTGTGTTCATGTTATGTAATGCTATTGTTCAAATCGATGTTTATATTTGATTTAATAGCGAGCTCTTGAAAATTCTTATTCAAAGAGTTTGATCAAGTTGAATGCTCTACCATGATATAATTGCTTGTGAAATGTGATTGTTCTGTTTAGAAGTTCAGGAGCTTGTAGCATCTGTTTGATGTTATAGATAATATATCATAAAAGCATATGAGGACTGAGATTGAAAGTAGGTACAATTTGTTCAAATGTTCCTCCATTTCATGTTTCCCTTCCGTTTTAAATCTTTTAGATATTCAAAATTATATCATCTCTTTTTGACTTACTGATATGAACATTAACGTGCTGCACCATGCAATTGAAGACATACGCATGCCATCTATAGAATCTGATTCTTCACTTTCTTCTGCTGCTTGATGATAATTAGAAGTGAAACTGATGCCTAAAACATCAGGAAATTGGTCAATGTTTGAAAAGATAGTATTCCATTTTTTTCCCCTTCTATTTGCAGTTATATTGTTTTAAAGATTGAGAATGCGTAGTGTTGCATTGAGGCCTGAGCACGCACCTTCTCTAGCAAGGCTGGTGATACAGAAAGGGTACAGAAAACTCTGGTTCTTAAGTTTCTTGCTCATTATGATTAAAAAAGAAGAAGAAAAAGGATCTTCTCATATTGCTTTTAAAGACTTTGATATTAATTTTGAAAAAACAGTTTGGCATTCCATTATTTATTTCCTTATAGTTTTGTAACCAGGTGCAGATGCCAGAATTTGATCCCAATGTTTTCTTTTTGGTCCAGAAAATCTTTGCCCCTACCATTGAAATGGTTTTCTGTTGGACAGTGCTGGTGATATGAGAGAATGACGAGGGGGCGATGCAGCGAGCACTATCAGTGGAATATGTATATTCTTGGCATGCCTGGGGTCGCAGTATGTTTTCCCCAACTTGATAAGCTTTGCAAACTATTATCTGTTCTCAATGCAATTTTTCAAAACTAATTATTGTTGTTGTGGTAGTTTATTACCCACTTAGCATGGCAGTTGGAGCATTCTAAGTTTTTTAGACATTATTCGTCTTTCTCATGGAAAAAGTGCGCACATATTCAGCCTTGTTTTGTCACATTCACATTTTGTTATAACATGTCTTGGTAAATTTTGAAGTCACTTTGCTGAAAAGTTCATAGGATTATGTGCATCTATAATTTTAAATTATTTCCAAAGTTGGTATTCATGGTGTGGTGGTTTATATGATCATGATGAGAGTCTTCTGTTTGCTCTTTTACTTTGTCAGGATCATCATTTTCCACATTATTTTGTAGGCTGAGGCAGAACTTATTTCTTCTATTGTCACTATCTTCGAGAGAATTGGAATCATGGCATCTGATGTTGGATTTAAGGTATCTAGCAGAAAGTTGTGGTCATATCTTTGAAGCATGAACATTGATCATTGAGGATCCTGCATAGTTATTTATGCATAGCCATTACTCTCCTACTAGTGTTCAAGTTGCACATACTCCAATATTCCTTTTGGTAAAAATAGCAATTTTTTATTCTGTTATTTTTACAAATCTCAAAATGTTTCTGTTCATTTGAACTGTTTTTATTAAACATGCATGATTATTAGTTACTTGCTTCACTGACACCAAATTGTTATATTCATAAAGCTGTTGAGAGAAAGTAGGAAACATGAATCTTAGTTAAACAGATCGGCATGATTGGTTCACCTTTTGAAGTGCAAGTTTATCATTTGCTTTCTTTTCTTTTCTGCATTTTGCCAGGATTACAATAAGCTTTTACAAACAATGTGCTCTACCATCAGAATTAAGAATAATAGCATACCTTAGCCTTTTTTATGGTATTTCAAGAGTTTGTGATGTCAGTATTTAATGCTGCTTTTGCAAGAATTATTGAGGTGCTATTCCATACCTGAAAATTTGTTTGCCAAGGTCTGCATCATCATAGACAAGGTTAGTTGTCTAAGGTTGTATCTTATGCACTGCAATTGCAGTGGATTATATTATGTTAGCAACAATAATCTTTTTGTAACTGTACTGTGATCATGTGCTAAATGAAACGGAGCAGCATAAGTCCTGAATATACTTGTTTTATATATCTGTTTATCTAACTATACTTTCGTTATTATCAATATATTTGTTTAACTATCTTTTTCTTATGGCTGGCGGTGTTATTTGCGAAGCAGATTGAGAAGATTCCAATTGATGAGATCAAGAGTTAAAGTCTACTGGTTTATCAGTAGAGGCTATTGAGGAGCTATTGCAAGTCCTTTCCATAACATCATTGACAAAACTGGAAGGCTGGTTTTACAATATGATGATGAGATGTTGTTTCTTGATATCTTTGAGCAAAAGAGGCAATCCAAAGCCCTCTTGCCCTAAATAAACATTCTTTTACTTCAACAAAATATGAAATGATAAGGCCTTATTCTTATTGTGCCATATCTTTGTGACGATAGAAAAACTTGGGAGTGCTGGGGAGGCAATTGCTGCCCTGAAACAATTGTTCTCACTTGCTGAAGAGTTTGGTTATTATGTGTGGATTCAATTCGATGCATCCATTGTCCGTGGCCTTGCATACTACACTGGTCTTGTATTCAAGGTTGGACTTTTGTAGTATTGTTTCTCTTTCTTTTGACATAGAATATGGGCTCTCATAAAAATTGAGAGTTCAAGAAAACTTTTGATATTTACATATGCCTGATGAAACATGAGGAGGGCTGTTAGCCTTAAGTTTTGACTCACAGTGATGAATTGACGTGTAAATTATAACTGAATTCTTGCAACCAACAATATCAATCTTTATTATATTATTTATCATCGCAGAGCAGGATCCTGCTGTAGGAAGTCATCTTTTCCAAATTTGTACAACCTGCTGGGCAGCACCACTAACATGAAGGGAATGACAATAATCTCTTGAAGTTCATTGTACAACTTATTCTTAACAATTTTGGGATTCCTCTCAGGGTTTTGATAGAAAAGGAAAACTGAGAGCCATTTGTGGTGGTGCTGATATGATCGATTACTCTCTACTTTTGGAGGGGATGACATTCCAGCTTGTGGCTTTGGGTTTGGTGATGCTGTCATTGTAGAAGTATGCTAAAGTCCAGAAAATTTTTTTTCCAGCCATGGTAAAAAATCACTAGTGAAGTGGCTATCTCCTCATTAAGTTTCTTATATATTTCTCATAGAGAAGAAAATAATAAGTGGTGCATGTCTTCCCCATATGTCCCATTATGTCAAGATGCCTGTGGATAAGCCAGCTTTAGTGTACCATAAATTCAATAATTGTATATTTGACAAGATTTAGTGAAGAAGTGTCCTCTGAAGCTGCCTTCTGTTTGGTGCAAAAATTCCTGGTTGCCCATCTTGAATTTGCTTAGTATGAGACCTTAGTTAATCCTACTGTGCCTATTGATTATGCATCTTCTGAAACCTAACTAAAACATTGCTTCTCATGTCCACCACCAATGGAAACCAGCCTCCTTTCCAGCCCACCTCCTTAAAAATAAAGTCTTTGTTTTACCATACGTAATTTCAATTTTCTTTTATTTCTTTTTTTTGTCAAGTCATAACATGTGAATTTGGTTGTGTTTCACAGTTGTTGAAGGAGAAGGGACTCGTACCTGAACTCAGCTTTGAAGTAGACAAACATTGTCTGTGCTCTGGATCATGATCTTCAAGGGGTAGCAGCAAGAGTTGCTACCTACTTTGAGGAAAAGGCCAAACAGTTGATTTAGTCTTGGAGAGCAAGCCACTTAAATGGTAGAAAGATGAATGCATGTGGTATCCTGGATCAATCTTTTACAGTTAAATAATGATTTTCCATTTTCTACTTGTTTTCTTTCAGGGTGTTCAAACGAGCTGTAAGGACAAATGCACAGAGGCTGATATTGGTTGGAACTACAGATTGGCAAAGGGGTATGATTGGTGTAAAAATCCTCTCTTCCGGTGAGCAATATGAGATTCAACTTGATGAATTAGAGTGTAAGACATTGGCTTGCGTTTGTAGCTCGTCTGTGCTTATGTTTTCAGTTTCTAATTTTGTTCTTATAAGCATGCTTAGGTTCTAATTTTGCTTATTCAATTGTTTTTCTCTTTCTAAAGTACTTGTGGGTGTATTTCAATATATTAAATTATTATCAACAAAAATTAGGTCAATTTTGAGATGATATTGATTATCTTTGGGAGACTTAGGACTAATATGTGCAGATGAGGAAACTGATTTGGACTGAGATATGCTATTAAAATTATTGCCACCATCTACTTAATAACCGAGTTCTTTGGCCAAAATTATTTCCCTCAGTCTATGTCAGTTATCTTAGATTGGTGGCGATGTAGATTGAATTATTGAAAACCCAGCTTGAACCTTGGAGCATTGGGTTCTCCGTCTACCTAAGCCTGTTAGCACAGACTTTCTTGACCCATTTTTGCCCTGCTCACTTTTTGTTTTTGGCCTAATTCCTCTATATATATATATATATATATTTAAAAAATGATATAGTTATAATGTTGCATGATATGATAGTATAAATTTATAAATTATAATATGTCATTATATTAATTTTTTTATTCAAGATTTATTTATAATATTATATATTTATTTATTTAATAACATATTATAATTATAAATTTATAATTTTACTTGACATTATAATTATATAAGCTATAGCATTATTTTATTTATTTATTTTTTTTCGCATGTAAGATTCTAGTCCCAAGAATAAAGTTCCGGGACCAGCGGGGAATCCAACTTTAGCGGGTTACAGAATCCGATTTCTTTCATTGCTAAATCATCGTTGTTCATATATGAACAACGATCCAATTTTACAAGACAGCGATCGAGTACAAATCATGATTTCTAAGTGCCAATCTTCATGTAATGTCTGGTGTCAGCTTGTGATTATGGTTTAAACAATAAAAGATGGGAGAGACCCACATCTAACATTCGATTCAGCAGGCTGAAAAAGTTAGATAGAAGCTTCAGATTTACATGCCAGTCCTGATTTCCTGTGGAACAACTTTCAATCATGGCTATTTCACATGGTAAAAGTAATTCCCTTTTTTTCCTTGCTTCTTTTCTTGAAGCCGAAGCTTCATGTGGAAAGGAGTCTCTCTCCTGGACTCCTCCCCAGTTCCCACTCAAAGGTTCTATTTGGTTTTAATCCCCTTTTTTTCTTAAAAAAGGTTCAATAAAATGTCAAGCTAAACTGCTCCATTTCTTTTTACGTTATAACTACTAGAGAAAAAAGATAATTCCTTTAAATCTGAAAATTCTGTAGCCTTCCATGGTAGAGGAGGGAGGTTTAAACACTGATATTTTGCTGAATAACTTTCGGGTTGTCCTTAAGTTTTAGCTGTAAAAACCAGAAGTGTAATTAATTGTTCATTCATTGATTTCACTCATATAAAATCATCCCTCTGACCTTGAATCCTTAAAACCATAAATTTTAATTAAAAGAAATGGCTCAAATTAAAATAACTCAGAAAAAAAAGAAATCACGTTAAATTTCGATAGGATTGTCAAGCATCTTGATGTCTTCATTTTAGCATTAATCAATAAAGCTAGCATGTGAAAAGAATCTCTTTCATGTGTTAATTCTCATTAAGAGAAAAATATTAAAACATATCTTGATTTTATGAAGTTTTAATTTAAAAATATCATATTTTAATAAATATTTTTAAAAATGACTTGTTAAATTTAATATTTTATTTATGTAAACTAAATATATTAATTTTAAAATTAGTTGAGTATATTTTTATTAATTTATTAATTATACAAAACTTAATATTATTAAATATATTTTAAAAATATAATTTTTAATTAAATAATTATAGATGATAAATCAACTAAAAAATAGATGCATAACCTGCATAAGAAAATAAATCATTTGATGTTATTATTGGTTTTTTAAAATATATTAATTAAATTGTGACTAGAAGTAATATGAGGTATTCCCTAAAATTAAATATAACAATATATACAAAAATTATAAATATAACAAAATTTTAAAATTGGGGTTTTTATTTTTCCCGGAATTTGGAGCTAAACTTTAACTCCCGCAGCCTAACCAAACCCAAACCCTCACAAATTTCCCTCTTTTCCATTCACTTGAACGAACCCCCTCTTTCCGCCTGTTTTGTTTCCTCTCTCCTGAATAAACCCCCTGTTGCCTCCGTCCACGTCTCAAACCCCAAAGATCCATTCTTCTTAACACTTGGCACTGCAGTCTTCTACACAAGCCAGCAACATACACCATACTTCATCACTCACTTGTATGCTCTTCTTCATGTCCAGTGCCCACATCTTATTAAGGTCAGTTCTCATCTGGGTACCCTCAGAACCTCCAATTTTCAGTTATTGGGTGTTAATTTTTGTGGGTTTTTTGTTTTGTGTTTGTTAGCTATGGTATCTGGGGCTCACCGTAACCATAATCACCAAGAAGATGGGGATAAGAACCCAGCAGCCATGTCTAAAGGAGGAGCTTCCAGGTCATGGGGTACCACCGTTTCTGGTCAATCTGTCTCCACCAGCGGTAGCGTCGGCTCGCCCTCTAGTCGCAGTGAGCAGGCTGCGGCCACTCCGGCAAGCGAAATGACGTTCCTTCAATTGAATCATCTTGATATTCAAGCGGATGATGCTGATGCTGGATCTCAAGGTGCGGTTGGGTAAGTGCTCTTTTTGTCACCCTTTTAGCTGGAATTGATGATAATTATGTCTGATGCTCCTTTGATTGTGAGTTTGTGGGGAGTTTTGCCCCGTGGGTGTGGATGGGGTAGAACGAAGAAATTGTTTGAATGTCAGTTTGTTTGTGTTTTGACTTTGGTTTAATTAGCCTGTCTTACATTTTTATGGTAAATATGCTCAGAATTTAATATTGTAATCGATCTATAGTTGCACAAATTGATCAAATATGTAAGTTGTTTGATGTTTCTCGTACTAAAATCTAGCTGCCCTTGAAGGCTGATGCTTTTGATACTGTCCTCAGTGTTGCAAATGCTTATGTGATTAATACTCTGTTTCAATGACAATATCATGGATTCTTAGAGGTGGTCATAGTATGTAGTTCTAAAGTTCTGTTAAGAAATGGGAGTTTTTTTCTGTTTAAAAGATCTATTTTCAACTTTCAATTTATTTAATGGGTTTAGCTGATCTTCATTTTGTTTACAGAAATAAAAAGAAGAAGAGAGGCCAACGTGCAGTTGGAGGTGATAAGAGTGGCAGAGGACTGCGCCAATTTAGCATGAAAGGTTTTTAACTACTTCATTTATGTCTGTTATTGTTCTTCCTTTACTGCAAAACAACTTTTCTAACACGTTTTATGGATTTTGGTTTAAGAAAATCTTACTCCTAATCTTGAGAAGCCCAATCATGCATTTTGTGCTCTTTGATAATTATACATTATGGTATCTGGTTTTATGGCTTGTCTTCTCATGTATGGGTCTGGAAATGAGTCTGAAACAATGGCTTGGTTAATTGATTTCTTACTTGAACTGTTTTTGTTTCATCCAGTGTGTGAAAAGGTGGAAAGAAAAGGAAGGACAACATACAATGAGGTCAGATTGTTTCTGAAAGTCATTCTTGCATTTGTAGTCCATGCCTTTGATGAATTGTTTGGAGTTCAACATATAACCCTGTTCCTATACATAGATTATCTTTCTGTTATATAACTACTATGTGTGAATTTTCCCTTGAATTTATTGTGAAGGATTGACCTGTTGGTTTAAAGTTATAGTTCTAGTTGATCCACCTTTCCTAGAGTTTGTGATGTCACAATATTTATAGAGAGAATCCAACTCGAACTAATAGATACATCAATTTCTTAGCATGATCTTGGTTTATTGATAGGAGTGTTGAAGGTGAAACACAAATAATTTCAAATTCAGAAACTCCCATTTATGATTTATGTTAGAAGTTGCTTACTAGATGCATTTAGTTCTTCTGATTGTAAATCACTGATTATTCTTTTCTTAACCAACATGTCAAATCTTGAAACAGTTTGCATCTAGAATTGTCTGCCTCTTTTGTTATGGTTTCATGTATTTCTACTGGCTATTTGCACCCCCTTCTTTTCTAATTACAATCAATTCTTTTTGCCTAAATTCTTGTCTGAAAGTTGAAACTATTTTTCAGGTAGCAGATGAACTTGTAGCTGAATTTGCTGATCCTAGCACTAGTGTAGCATCTCCAGATCAGGTTTGATTTTCTTCATTCATTATGATATATATGTTTCTTATCTTTGGTTAGCTTCTTTGACTAAAGGGCAAGTTTGGGATTTTGAAAATTCCCCCTCTGCATTCTGATTAACAGCAACAATATGATGAGAAAAACATAAGGAGAAGGGTCTATGATGCCCTTAATGTACTTATGGCAATGGATATCATATCTAAGGATAAAAAAGAGATACAGTGGAAGGGTCTGCCTCGTACCAGCCTTAATGATATTGAAGAATTAAAGGTGAGGGTGTAGCTTTTATTTGAATAACTTGCATTTTTAGTAGGTTTTATATTTTCTGACTATGTCTAATAGGAATTTATTTAACTCCTTTAACTGTAATTCTGCTAATGATTCAGGCTGAACGTCTTGGACGGAGAAATAGGATTGAAAAAAAAGCTGCCTATTTGCAAGAGCTGGAGGAACAGGTAAGAAGGGCAAACTTTCCGTATGGTTATATTCCATGATTTTGGAATGTTCTATGCGAAAGAATTCAGGTCATCATTTTCAGTCCATGTGGTAGGTTATAATTCTCTGTTCATTGAGTTCTTTTCTTGTTTCATCTAGTATATAGGTCTCCAGAATTTGATACAACGAAATGAGCAGTTATACAGCTCTGGAAATGCTCCTAGTGGTGGTGTGGCTTTACCTTTTATTCTAGTGCAGGTATGTGTCTTCTTAATTTTCCTTTGAGATTTTTCATTCTTATAAGAAATTAGAAAATCCTACTAACTAAAGTGCCAGAAATGAAGTTGAGATTTTGGATTTTATACCATGACTTTGATTTGATCGTTCTCCTTTGCATAAGTTCTAGTTTGTGTTTGACTTATAAAGTATGAGAAGGGACATATTTTGAAGGAGAAAGTGAAGTAAAAAATTTTCACCTTTGGTGCTTGGCTTGAAACGGTTGGCCATGAGGGGTGCAATGCTTCAGATAGTTCCTGTTTGTAGCTAAATTCCCATTTCAGTTAGACCCCTCACTTGTAATAGAAAAAATTCTAAACCTTCATCTTTGGCATTGTTACTTATGAATCTTGAATTATCTAAACCCTTCATATCATTGTTCTCGCATCCTAACAGCCATATCATGAACTAACATCAAGTCTAAATGAAGTACAGCAGCCAATTTTAGAGAATTACCCTGTTCTTTTTAAAGCTCCATTATAATTTGAGATGTTTATGAGTTTGCTAGAACCTGTATCTTTTAGTCTTCTCATTGCTTTCCATTTTGTCTAAACTAGCTGTTTCGATATATTATTTGGAAAATTAACTTGAGAGGAACTGAGGTATCAGAAGAGTAACCAAGAGGAAAGTGCAGGTTTTGTTGGTGTCTCTCTTTGAGGAGAGGTGGTCGGTTGCTTGATTTCTTATATGCTTGGTTTGAGGCTTTATTGAAATTCAAGTTGTGTTTATTGTGATGCCTCTAATTTTTAGTCTCTTTTTTCTTGACCTTTTCTTTCTGTATCATCTTGGGACTACAGACACGCCCTCATGCAACTGTTGAGGTGGAAATATCTGAAGACATGCAGCTGGTACATTTTGACTTTAACAGGTAAGAGATGAAAACTCTTCCCATAACTGCCTCGAGTGTTCTATATAGTAGACAGTGGATGCTTATGTGATTGCTCTGCAGTCACCACTGGGAAAAGACATTGCCGTGTCCCTTCTTAATGCTGATGGGGAACAGCAAACAAGAGAGGCCGGAGGGCTAGGAAGTTCGGTTTTTGAATGGTTGAGTGCAATTAATTGCAATAGGACAAAATGCTTGATACATGTTTTTGGCCATTGCTAACATTTTTCGTCTTGGCTGGTATTCTATATTGCAGTACACCATTTGAGCTCCACGATGACAATTACGTTTTGAAGCAAATGAAGTTTAGTGAGAGACCCCAAAGTGCTGAAATGGCACCTAATGGTGAAGGATCAAGCATGGCAGAAATGTACCAACAGCAGACCCACGCTCCCCCGATGTCAAACACAGCAAGCAGGGCTCCAACCTCACCACCTCTTCCTGGAATACTGAAAGCACGTGTCAAACATGAGCACTAATACTCAGATTTCATGCTGAGTACCATGGGCAATAACCCTTTTTATCTGTACATTGTGTAAAGTAATTTGGCAGAAGTGGTTCAGGCCCATTTCCCCCCACATTTAACGCTCCAAGGTTAGGTTAGGTCGTTTGCTTCAAGACTCTCCAAGGGTTGCTGATTCTGGCAAGTCCCCAGTTTTACATCATCATTTGCTATTGTAACTTGTTTTATCGTATCGTTGCCGGTTATTTTGCCCCACATTGTAATAGTAGAAACGAGTTAATTTTGTGTCAGGCTGTAGAGATTGTTCAGTCTTAGTTCAGCTGCATACGAACAATGATAGAATTAATTCAAGAATGGGACATTCACTGTATTGTTCATTACGTTAATTTTATTGCAAAATTAACACCAATGGTTGGATTCATTAAGTATTATTCTATGATTTAAATCAATATTCAAATTATGAAACTAGCATTTAAGAAAATCATCTTTTTAAAAGATACCATACAGATGTAGGAATATGTTCTTACGATTTAACAGGGAGTATATGTGCCTTGTTAAGTACTGATACTTTATTCTTCAGTGTTCGTGTAACAACTTACCACTGAACCGAATCTGTTTTTTCATTCTACGAAGCCAATAACCCTCTCTTCATCTCGAGTCCAACCCTTCCTATTCCCCCTTACCATATGAAGATCTTCACCTACTAGCTGTAATAACTGAAAACCAATGATCTTATCTTCGTTGAGTGCTGAGTGAAGCAATTGACAGGGCCTGCACCGCACACTCAACTTGATGCTGAGTTAGCAGCTGGGAGGGGTATGCCCGATAATGGTCCAAAGCTTATGTCCATATGAGCATTCTGTATCTGGTTCTATTGTTCCAATCTAGACCCGGCAAAAATACACTCAATCCGTCAACCCGATCCGTAAAAACAGATTAGGGTTTATATATGCCAACCCGCAACTCATAGATAACTTGTATTATCAACCTGTACAGGTCACGGATCGGGTTAAGGTCAACCCGTGGATTGATAGGTTGACC